AAATAAAAGCAGCGAATACTCTATCAAGGAAGGGTATCGAAAGACGTATACAATTTTAAATGTACCGTAAGGTATTTTTCATTCTTTAAGCATAACATTTTTCTTAAAATCTATATTTTTGTAGTGCAACAGCTTAGAATTTTATAAAAAAGAAATTCATAATCAAAATCGCTGTTGTTAGTTAACAAGATGTGATTTTTGCGTAAATGTCACTAAACTATACAAATTGCTGTTATCTATCACACTATGAATGTTTCTTTCATGCGAAAGTGTCCCTTTTTCGATTTCTATGGAACTGTCGTGTGTCGAAATACTATCAGAATCTTGTCAAGCGAGCTTCTGAGTGTAAACAAAGAATACCCCATCTGGTGACCCAAGCTTCAAAGCAGTGCTTCACTTTTAGCGCGGGTTGGCCCCTCCTCCCTTTCCTACCTCCATGGTTTGAGCATAGGGGGAGCAGGGCCTTTCCTACCTCCATGGTCTGGTATCTCGGGGGGAGGAAGAGACTAGGGGAACTCATTTAGCGAGTTAAAAGGAGAAAGAGAAACTAGTAGTTCACCATTACAAATGCAGAGACTACCAACAAAGAGCTCCCATTTCAGTTCTTTAATTCGATGCTGATTGGTGAAAACGAGCATACAATCTTCAACTTCTTGAGAAAAGGAGGAAACAACTGCGCGTATTTTTTGCGATGGTAAAGCTGACACGAAAGTGGTTTCAAATAATTTTCGTTCCAAGCAGAGATGAGAATGCGAGAGCGTTTTAAGTCATTGTTGGCTACTGCTTTGGTTTCCAAGAATTTGTTTTACACCTGCTCCCATAGCCTTTGTTTAGAAAACAAGAAAATGTAGGAATGAAGAGAACATTAACATAACGATGTTTTTTCTATCCTAATAACCAAAACATTGGTAACTTTAAGGGTTAGTAATTTTTCTGTTAAAATTCCCTGGGAAGATTCTGGGAAAAAATATGAAAAATGCAATAAAAAGTTTCATTCGAAGGTATTCATAAAATTCTTTGTAGCCTTTTTTTATACGTTTGGAAATTCGCTATAGCCATGTAAAAAAAGTGCAAAGAAAATTGAACCGGATCAGAAGTTTTGTTCACAGCTTGTTGTTTCTAAGTGTGTGTAATTTTATAGATTAAATTCTTAATAGGGCAGCAGTTAATTTGAAGCCAATCAGAAAATATTCCGCGATCAAAGTTTCGTTAGTATGAATTTCATCTTTAAGAACATGTTGTCAATTAAGGCAACTTCCGTTTATTAGTTAATATAGTAATCAAGCTTTATCTTCCTAGTACTGTTTGTTCCCTTCCTATATGTGGTCGTGTTAAGCACACTAATAAGAGTAATCGTATTTGCTATGAACGTAAACATGTTCAAGAGAAAAACAGTGATATTTCTTCAAGGTAGGACAGCTCGGTATTTGCTGCTTTGAAGGCTGTCGCATTATCCGAATTTTCAGGATGGAGAAAGCCGCGATAACCTGTGTATCTTTCTAACGTCTTAAGAAACCTGGCATTAATAGTTCCAAATGTCAAGCCCGAGATGTAGCATAGTAGAAAACTCAATTGTTATACTGAAAAAAAGATACACGCACATATATATAATCCTACCCCTAATGTACACTGCGCAAAAAAAAGGGGGGGCAGTTCTATATCTCTCGTTCTATTGGGCGGACTGACGAAATTCAACTTGCGTTTTTCATGTTTCGAAATTGCGACTTAGGATATGTATTAGATTTATATATAGCATTCTTCTAATATAGGTATTTTGACACAAAATCGGACTTTGTTTGAAATAATATACCCATTTTTTTCCTATATTTCGATTTTTTTCCTATATTTCGATCAAACTACCAAGTTTTGTAAAAGTCGCACGAGTAGTTTTTAGAAAATTAGCTCTTAAAATTTTGGCTCCTCAATTGGTTTAGACACATTACTAAAATTATTCGGAAGTAGAAACGATGTGACCTTTTTCGTGGCCTTCGAGATAACATGGCCTGGTTAGCTACGAGTGACGTCACGAAAGGCGTCCGATTCCACCGTGACTTTCTTTGCTTCAGATTTGAATGCGAGCGTTTCATTCGATGTTTAGAGTGTTTTGTTTTTAATAATGCATAATAATTAACTTTCCAGAGACTTGAAAACGTATATAAAAGGTCGTATATTCATTTTCAGTTAAGATTAATAACTTAATAAATATTATTTTTTAAGAAATATTCACGAAATTTTCTATGCCATGTTTTAGGTTATCTTGTGCATTTTTTTACACTGTATTGTAATAATTTGTTAGGATACACTCAAAAAAGAAAGTTTTGAAATAAGTAAATAAAAAGGCTGTTATTTATTAACATAAAAATGTCTTTATATTTTGAGAAGGAGAGGAGTGAAAGGAATGAAAAGATTTAGAAATATAAATAATTCACTAACAAAAGTAAATATAATTTAGCAAATTAAAAGACATAAAAAATAATTTTTCCTTAAAACTATAAATATTTCAGAGCTTCCAAATATTATGCAAATGTATTTTTAATTCATTCAAATTACTATCTAATAAAATGAACAGAAAAGCCACAGAAAAAATTTAAATCTCAAAACTTTGTAAATTAAATTACAATTTTGCTGCAACATTACTGAAAACGAATAATTTTCACATATTTATATGTTATCTATAGCAATAATTATAAGAATATTTACATCATTTAATAATATTTACATTATTAGTTATATGTAGATGCATAATAAATAATATATTTACAAATAAAAGCCATCCATATAATGTTTCACAAAAGCGTAAAATCAATAAATTTGCCAACGAAAACCTCAAAACAACTATACATAGAACAAACCATCATTTCTGCCTAATTAGCAAATACTGTGCAAGTTGTAATAGTATACTGAAGCAATAATTAATCGCAATTGATAATTTATTTTGAAAAATTATGAAGTATTATCAAATAATAAGGATACAGCAAAAGGATTAATAAATTTAAATGTAAAAGATACATTATTGAAAATATATTTGAACTGCTTCATATTTAGTACACTATTTTTTAAAAATAAAACAATGTCATTTACATACTCATATCTTTTCATCACATATTCTTGACTTTTAAGTTTCCTTTCATCGATTTTTGTATGCATGTTATTTTGAAGAACTTTAGTATAATTGTTTAAACAAATATTTGAAACGGTGCTCATTATTTTTTTTAATCTGCTAGAAAAGGGAATTCCACACATTAAACAAGTTTCATGAACATCAAACATGTTAATGTTTTGTACATATATCTCGGTAAGTTTGGCCAGTAAAGAATGCTGTTCAACTTCTTTACTGGTTCTTCTTTACTTTCAACTGGAATAACTTTATCTTCTAGATAAACTGCTATATCCTATATGAAGCAAGCGATACAAAGATACTAAGATACTTTTCTCAATTTTAGGATATGGATGAAAACTGAGCAATAAAATATAAATACCAGCAACAGATTTGTGTAAAATAATATTTGAAGTATCTGAAAAATTTAATTTATTTAATAACATAGAAGAAAAATCCTCAAATGATGCTATTTTGTCCTTTCTCAAAAATTCATTAAAAATATGCTTCTCCATCTTAGCTCTTTTTTCCTCCCTGCTCATCCTCTGAGGGGTTGGACTTTCAGATAAGTGTTTTGGACAACCAGAAAAAATGCATGGGTAAGCATCGTTGTTTAATTTAGGATGCCCTCTACACATCTGAATAAAAGTACCTTCGTTTGTTGGTAAATAATCATAGCGAAAAATATCATCTTTTCGAAATGTTTTTCACACACAACGCTGCGATCACTTGAAATAAAATTTTTCCTTGGAATTTTTTTGATCCATAAATCCCGTTTTACTGTGCCTTTTGGAAATTTGAATACTGATACATATTCATTAGTGCCATCGTAATTGGATTTGCATGCTGGAACGCAACATCGTGCAGGCATGATGAAGACTTAGCTCTACGTAGAACGTCGATCGTTATTCTTGTTAACAAATAAGTTAACTAGTAATCTCAATTTAAAAACGAAAATATCCTTAACAACATTACTTAAATTTAGCAATAAAAAAGACACGAATAATAAAAATATACAACACACAATCAACGTAATAAGAAGTCTTCGTTTGCAGTGTCCACACAATGCAGTGCGAAGGGTGAAAGTTCAGACGCCTTCCTTGACGTCAAATCACGTGATTCTGCAGCTGACCAGGCCATCTAATCTCGAAGGCCACGCCTTTTTCCGCTCATGCACAATGTACAAAGGTAAGAACGAGGTCCCCTTTTTCCCCGCTCCGGGGTATTGGAAGGGAAAGGAAAATTGGTTGCCACATATTAAGAAGTTCGCCAAGTGAATTATTGTTGGCGAAAACTGGAAAAATTGTGCCAAGATAATTTTTTTAATTTTTCGGTAAATTTTACACCAAATTTCACAAAATTTAATATCTAGGCATAATTTGAGTATTAAAATCAAAATATGGAAAAAAATTAATCAAAATATAAGAAAATAATCTAAAGAAAATAATAATTTTAAATTTATAATTAATTTAATTATTTAATAATAATAAATAATAAAATCTGAAATAAATATGTTATTTCAGAAAAAGTCCGATTTTGTGTCAAAATACCTATGTTAGAACAATGCTATATATAAATCTAATATATATTTTAAGTCGTGCTTTCGAGATATGAAAAACGCAGTTTGAATTTTGTCTATCGGCCCAGTAGAACGAGAGATATAAAACTGCCGCCCCCCTTTTTTTTGCGCAGTAGTGTACATATATAAGTCTTACCTTATGCAGTTACAGTACTTCAAGAATTTAAAATAATAAATATTCACATAGGAATACATTGTAGATTTTCATTTCTTATTATTTGTCTTATGTTTAATTTTTTATTCATGATATTTCTCTGCATCAAAGTATATAACAAATGCAAATACAAAATGTGTCATATTAAATAAAAAAAATCATATTTACAGCTTGGAAGGACAAATATATCCCACCTATTAACTCCGAAAGGAAAGGTATACGCAGAGCTTACTGTAACGAGAATGGCTGAAGATCATTTCTTCTTAATCACAGGTTCAGGCTCAGAAATTCATGATCTTAGGTTTGTAGTTTAGGTCATTATTTGAAAAATAACTATACATTTTTATATTTACAGTTATTTAATTTTTTAAGTTTATTTAGCATTTTTTCTTACCTGAAAAACAAATTTATTGTTCTAAAACTTTTCCATGGTATTTCCCTCCTCTGTCAAAACTATAGTAAAATTGTTCCTATAATATAAGACAATCTATCTCATATTTCAAGATCCTGGATTAGTATATATGGTTTATCCTGTTCTTTATTTTTATTTATATTAATCTTAAAGATATATAGTCAGGCTTAGCCGTGGCATACCGTGTCCTTCCTTAAATACATAAAAAATTTTCTATAATTTTTATTATACTTCCTTCACTTTATGTAAAAGTTCTTTGTCTAATTTTTTCCCATAACTATTGACCATTTAGCAAGCTTTTAAAGAGAATACATAATCACTATAGATAAAATATACAAAATAAAGTGTTATACAATCAAAATGTGAAAAAAACTACATTTTTCGGATTAAAATCAGAATGTCGATGAACAGCTAGGGTCCGACTTACAAATCTGGAAGCTTGGCCAAAAGCTTTTGCATATCCCATTCCTTCTAGTTATTTCAATATTGTTAAGTATCATTGATATAAACTGTATTTTATGTAAAATATATTTCACATTAAGTACTGTGTAAAATATCCTATGCATAAAATAACCTATCTGTAGAGTCGTTAAGTTTGTCGAAGTGGAAAACATGAAATATGTGCAATGGCCTAGCGAGGATTTGAACCAAATGTGAGGAATAGGTGAAGAAAGTAAACCGAGATGAGCCAAGAAGATGAATAGATGAACTGAGGAAGATGAAGAATTCAAACCAATTCAAATTCTTTGTTCCGGGCCTTGGACTTCTAGTTGGAGTTGCTTTGCAGTTACACCACGAAAGCACACACTAAGGACGCAATAAAATATCTTGCATTCCATTCAACTTAAAATGACAACTGGAGAGGTGTGGACCCTATCGACAAACCTGGTGGTGACGAATTATCATCTATTATATTTTAATTTGTGCGCTACTGTAAGAGTTATTATTAGAATTTTCGAAGCCAAGAAACATGAAAAATCCGGGATGCCTTCGTCAGGATTTAAACCCTGTACCTCCTATTTGCTAGCCAGACGTGCTTCCAATTACACCACGAAGGCACGCAGTAAAGAGGAAGATAATACCTTAGAAGCATAACAATGCATTAAATATTTTTTATGAATTCTGTTTTCATAGTTTTAGTTTAGTATGTGTTGCATAGAATACAAACTTACACATTTTAAACTGGAATCTCCCCCCTTTCTCTCTCCCCCTCTTTTTTTTAAAGAAACTAAAAAATGGGAGGAGGGAATTCTTGTTGATTTCACTACAAGCCTTAACTAAATTGCAATGATGTAACTCAATTAATGCAATTAAATTATTTATCAATTCCATATTCAAGTACATGAAAGATAAGAACAATTAAAATTTCATTTTCTTTTGGTGGGTCATTTTATGGTACTTATGTCTTCATTATTTTAAAAACTCCTTTCGGATTTTACAAAAGTCATATCATTTCACTCATTATAAATCATAATTTCACAAATTACAATTTTAAAGGAAAAAATTTGTATTTTTCAATAATTTCAGGGGGTAAGTATATGATTTTTAAGGAAGGGCATGAAATGCTAGCATACGGAACTTAACATTTTACTCCTGTTTCTGATTTTACGTTTCCAAAATATCAAATTTAAAAAAATGTGTAAAATTTTGAATAATTTAAATATTATAGGAAGATTTTGAGGCCTCCTTGAAAGTGGAAATCCGTGGCACATGTTTGTCCTAGTGGAGTTCTGAACATGCCCCCCTCCAAAACTATTTTAGAGTTATTAGGTTATTTTGAAGCAGGAGAAATGAAGAATGTGTAATGCCTTCGCCGGGACTCGAACTGGAACGTCTTGAATACGCGCCGAGTGTTCTATCCTTACACCACGAAAGCATACTGGAATAAGGGAGAAAATACCCCCACCTTTTAAGGGGCGACTGGGGAGGAGGGGACCCAATCGCCATTTTTTTTTTTTTTTTTTTTTTTTTTTTTTTTTTTTTTTTTTAAGCAGAAAACTTGGGATTCAAACCTCAGCCTCTCGAATACGTGCTGAGTGTGCTACCGTTACACTACGAAGGCATGATGGAAGGAGGAAGAAAATACATTATAATATTAAAAATAAAATCTTGAGGAATAACGTAAATTGCAAGAAGAGTATGCACAACCCAAATAGCTAATTCATTACTTTGCCGGATATATCTCAAACCACTCTGATAAGGTATACTATAAATTCGCCAAGAATTAAAATCACAGATGGAATGTTTAAGAATTGAATAACGAATTTTATTGATAAGCGAGAAAATAACCTGAAAGTTGAAGTTCTGGGGAATACGTACATTCTCTGAACTAACAAAAGGATGAAATGAATAACTACAAGATTATTAATATTGTTTATAGCAGCAGAATATCTTCTTTGATCGCCCGACAAAAAAAATTTTAATGCCTTTATGAATAAACATCGACGAAATTTTTCAGTCAGTGGCAAGCGATTTCAAATAATTGAGTTCACGAGAAAGCAATGATTCCGAAGAACACACTTTGAGAGCGCGATATACACATGAGCAAAGAGTGGCCATTTTTGGCTTATTAGAAGAACTTGAATTAGAATGGGGGAAGAAAATTTAACAGAAAAAGATTTATGGTAAACAGCAGTGCTGAAATCGTATTCCTTGCGGATAATTAGAATATCAAGGATAGGAAGGGAAATTCCAGATTTTTTAGATTCAGTTTTATAAGTGAACTTGATGGCTGGATCAGTCGAATACCTAATGGATAAAATCTTGGTTAAGTCTAATCTATTACAACCAGAAAATGCGACTGTGTCATCTACGTAGCGAATCCAGAGCCGAAAAGATATTTTTTCAAATAATTTTTTCTCAAAATAATCAATTTAAATATGAGCAAGAATTGGACGTAGCAGATTACCCATGGTCAAACCTTCAATTTGGTGATTTTGGAAAACGAAGTCCCTAATTTCAGTGTGTGGGAAATGGAATGAAATCTGGTGTTAAAGCGTTTTAATGCTTTCTCAACTGGAACGTTAATAAACAGTGACTTAACAATAAAAGAAATCATAACTTAGAGCTGGGAAGAAATATCTTCAAGTTGATAGACAACTTCAAAAAAAAAATTTAGTCTAAGTGTTGTTAAAAAAGTAAAGCGGAGAATCTAGAAAGTAAATATTTGGCTAAAGGTATGATGCTATTCCTATGTTAGACGTTATAAAGAGGGAAAAAATTCAGCTTTTGTGAACTTTGGGAAAGAGTATAAAATTTAGCACAATTAGCAACAGGTGGAATGACCGATTTTAAAACTGTGCTGAGATTATATATAAGAACACTTAATAGCTATTTTAATTTTCGCAAGGTCAGATATTGACGGACACTTAGTGATTGAGCAGTACTGGCCTTTATTTGGGACCTGTGTCTGATAGCCTTCGAAATCGATAGTTTTGTTTAATACCTACGCCAAACAAAAGTATCTGTTTACCTAATTTATAATTTTACATTGGCGTGCCCTTCTTCCAGTTTAAACATTCGTAATCATTGAAGACTTTTGATTGAATAAAATGTGCTTTGATTAATTTTTGCTGGTGATGACAGGTAAATACTGCTGCATTGCAAACAGGTAAATAGGTAAATACTGCTGCACTGAACAGGCTGCATTTGCAAATTTAATACTAAAAGGAATGTCTAATACGATCACCTACTATTGTATCATGCATTACAAGTAACTTTGTGTATTGATCAGATCTATGCGTAATGAAATAGGTTGTTCCTAGAATCGGTTTATCAGGTTCGATGGGCTTAATCGCAAACAAACTTTCTTATCACTTAGAACTGCAATCATTCGATGGTGATATAATTTACTTCAGCTTCGTTCCTGATATCAAAGAAGAATGACAGAATGACATTAAAGAATTCTAGACAGGTTTTTTTTTTTTTTTTTTTTCTTTCTTTCTTTCTTTTGGGCGAAGGGAAGACAAAAGAAAAAAAAAAAAAAAGAAAGTTCGCGATTGATGATGAATAGCTGAATGACTTACTATCGCTACGTAACTTTCAGAATTATCTATGAAGCTACGAGGAAGGAAAACAAATTGAACAATCTAGGCATTTAATACAGATAAAAATCATACCAGAAAAAGGTCTGTGTAAAAACGCTTTCATTTATACATATATTAACAACAAGATGGCTGCCTATGAAAAACCCGATCTCGAAGTGATGAAAAGTTTTACGGATTTCAGGACATTGGTAGTAGCTAAACGAAGTTCTCATTGGATTGACTTAAAACCGATATCGCTGTTATTCCCGCTGTGATGCAGATGAAAATAATCAAGATTCGAAGAATAAATGAATTTATAATGACTTAAAGTTACAGCTCCAATTTCTAAAAATCTCGCTTGTTTTTCCTTTAATTAATTTTTTTAATGGAAAAAAAAAAGTACGGAATTCCAATGAGAAGTTCATATTCCACTCATATTTGTAACTTATTTCTATTTTCTAAAGAATACAAATTCCTAAAGAGCCTTTCTGCTGACGATTTCAGTAAATTTGAACACTTTTATAGATATATTGATGACATTATTGCTTTCAACAATTTTAATCTCATCGAAAACAGCAACATTTGCCCAAATTGTCTAAAACTAAATAAAACCAATAAAAACCAAACACAAATAGTTTATCTAAGTATTCATAAACTAACGGAAATTAAACTTTTTGATAAGCGAAAAGATTTTAATTTTTTTTTTTTTTTACTAATAAACTTATAAATTGGAACTCCAACACATCTAAAATAGTTATTGCAAATACTATTATTAACCAAATCAGCAAAATTAAAAAGGTTTACAATGAAATAGAAACACAAAAAGAAGAAATTCTAATTCTAAATAAAATTTTAAAAGATAATGAAATTCCTTTAAAATTCATTATTAGTCTTTTAAAGAGATCTGGAGTAATCTACACCCTATAATACTTTTTAAAAGTATGAAATTTTTATCTGAAAGCTGCAAAAGAGAAGGATGTTTTAAAGGGTTTATAGATTTTTATTTTTACTTTTAATTACTATTCTGTTACTAAACATGGGCCTTATATATTTTCAAAGTCGTCATGAGAAGCTTATCACGTGACTCATGATTATCTACTTTTCTAACAATAGTTCCTTTACTTCCTTTTTCTAACGTTTTTCTGTAATTTTAATTTACAATCTAAAAAAATCTAACACTGGATTTTTCTACTCAAATCTTCAGAAACAATTTTAGGCACTTTTTTAAGTTTAATATTTTTAAAGAATAATTACTTTTTAAAAATTTAATTAAAGTTTTTAACTGTGTGATGTTCTTTATTTCCATTTTTGTTTTAAAAGAGTCAAAATTTACTTTAATTTCTCTCTATTAATATTGTAATCTTTTTCTTTGTCAAAATTTAAAAAAATTTCATTGAATTATTTAAAATTTTTTCTTTTGGTTTCAAAATTCCATCTTATGTTCCAAAGTTTAGTCTTTTGAGCGATTACTTTCTTTCCAAGGTTTTTTTGTTTCGCCAATGGAGCCAAAATGGCAAACCTGTAAGTCACTACAGTCGCGATATTACTTGCTTCCACCGAAGTCTCATGAAAGTGCTCAAGTGTTAATTACTTATTGTGAGTTTTAATTAAGTTTTTTCACCTAAATTTATAATTTCACTAAAATTTAAAATACTACTTTGGATTATGTGATTTATGTTTAAAGGTAAAATTTTGATTTTGATTTTTTTTTTTTTTTTTTTTTTTTTTCCCACTGAGTTATTTTAATTATTCACTCTCGGTTTCAATTCTTTAAGCAAAATAAAATTCTCCTTATTTTAAGTACAAGTTCCAATTGAATTTTTTTTTCCTTGCTTTGGGAAAGGGTCAGAATTTTCGGGTGAACTATTATAATTAAAATACATTGAAATAGTTCATCAGCTAATTCTGGATTACAGAAAAGCAAGGATTTTTGTAGAAGAGAGATTTCAATGTTCCATTCCCCTGATGAAGTAGCACTGAAGTTGATTGAATTACACTTCTGTTTTCTTTTTACATTTTAATTTCTTTAGGGAATTTTTTTAAATTGATGTATTGATTGTTTAAAAGTTTTGGTTTGTACATTTATTGAATTCTTTGGTGCATTTATAAGATTATTTGAAATTTATTAATTATGAATTTCAAAACTTTCGTCTTTGTGAAACATTAGTTCTAAATTTCTTACTTAAATTAGTCTTTACCCTAAAATTCAGTTATACTAAACAAGGATTAGTCTTCTCCAAGAAATTTTGTGAAATTTTGGATATTTTATATCAGAACTGAATCAAGTTTACAATTATTTTTATTTTAACTGTCTCATCTAAAAAAGGTTGTGTCCCATTTTAAATTGTCCCAGATGAAACACTTTTTTTTTTTTCTTTTTAAGTTGTCCATTTCTTTACCGTGGAACTGGTAAGAGGATTCCCATTTCGGCCTTTCCATTCAGAAATGGTGCTAATTCTAAAAATCTAATCAAATGTCACATGATTGTAAAGCAAATATGAAATGATGCTCTATGTTCAGTCAATGCTGAAATACAATATTAATATTACATATTGGTAATACTCGTATATAGTACAGTAATTATGATTTTTTTTTATTACAGTTCAGTGTTGTTACCTAGAGACATGCCTATATCAATTTCTAAAGAATAATCCCAACTAAAATATTTTGAGAATTCTACACCTTAAAATGAAAGCCAAAACTGAGAACTTTCGAGGATTATGTTGACATTGAATCTAATTGTAAAATGTAATGCTAAAAAACTCATGAAAATTACAAGTGCTTCTGCTATAACATTTTTAACAAAGTAGATTTATTGTTTTACTGACCAATTTTTTAAAAATAGTCGTTTCATCGTGAAGAACAATGTTGAACCATATATAAAGAGAAATGGATTTCTTATGACCGTTTTGTCAGAGTTGGTATATGGTATTCAATATAGGTTATGCTCTCTTTGTCTAGCTGAATTTTTAGTGTTTCTCATCCACCCTCAAAAAGTATTCTTGTTTAATGCACAATTTATTTTGGAATATTTAAAATGTATGAATTTTTATTTTTGAATTTCAGCTTCTAATAATCAGCAAGCAGAGATAGCATACATCGATTGTTTAATAGTGAGAGGGTTTTCTCACTATTAAACAATCGATAACCAAGAAGCAGACAAAATTTTATGTGGGAGTTAGTGAAATCCGTGTCTGGTACTCACACAATGCAGTTTTAAGCTACGATGTGCTTTGATTTGAATTTTTTTTTGGGGGGAAGGGGTGATTATTTATTTTTTAAAAAGAATTCTTGCATAACATGTGGAAAGGCTGAAACAGCACAATCTTTTTATATTCTCTTTGCGAACACTTGCAGGAGGAAAGAAAGAGCCTGAAGTGGCAAAATTTTTTAAGCCTGAAGTGGGAAAAACTGAAATTTTATTTAAGTTCTAAAATCTATTTAAATTTCCACAGCGTTCGCATAACCCAATGCATTTCATTTATAATTTTGAGTCTGTTTTTGAACATACACATAGATTTTAAATAAACTTTAACTGACTTTATAAATATTGCTTCCAACTACAAACTTCTTTTCCCTTTGAAAAAATTACGAAATTTATATTTAACAATAATATTTTATTATTCATAATAATGTACACTGTGCGCCCGCCCCCTAAAAAAGGTACAGTTCTGTATCTCCCGTTTTACTGGGCCGATTGACGAAATTCAAATTGCGTTTTTCATGTCTCGAAAGCGCGACTTGAGATACATATTAGATTTATTTATAGTATTATTCTAACATAGGTATTTTGAGATAAAATCGATTTTTTTCTGAAATAACGTATAATATTTTTTCCATAGCTCGATTCTATGACTCAAATTATGCCTAGATATTAAGTTTTATAAAATTTGGTGCGAAATTTACGTAGAGAAATTCAAAAATTATATTCTTGGCACAATTTCTTCAGTTTGCGCCGAAGGATAATTCACATGGCTAACTTCTCATGTGGCAACCAATTTTCCTTTCCCTTCCATTATGCCGAAGCGGATAAAAGGCACCTACTTATCTATCTTTTTACTTTCATTGCATGCCGAGCGGGAAAAAAGGTCACTTCGTTCCATACTTTCAAATAATTTTAGCAAAGTGTCTAAACCACATCTGATCGTTATTACCGCTTATCAATTAAATATGTCAAATTCAAAACGCGCCAATATATAAATTCACGTACATCTTAGGAAATTTTGAATAAAAACTCTTAATTTTTGCTGATATGCTTAGAAGTGCATCTACTTTAAGATGATGTTAAAAATTTTGTAGGTTATAATACAAAAATTTTTTCGAAAAATTTATAAAAAATATTTTAAAATACAATTTTAAAAATAAATAATAAAAAATATGCAAATTATATTTGGATTAAGCCTAAATTTCGAATTCTGGAAGAAAGAATTAAGTAAGTTTAATAAAAAAAGATATATTAATATATATTTATCAAATTCAATTAACATTGAGGATCTAAAATTTTGAGAGCTAATTTTTAAAAAAGCATTCGTGCGATTTTTACAAAACTTGGCAGTTTGGCCTAATTTGAGTCGTAGAATCGAAATACGAAAAAATATTAGCATGTCATTTCAGGAAAAAGTCCGATTTTGTGTCAAAATACCTATATTAAAACAATGCTGTATATAAATCTAATACATGTCCTAAGCCGTGCTTTCAGATATGAAAAACGCAAGGTGAATTTTGTCAATCGGCCCAGTAGAACGGAGATATAGAACTGACCCCCCTTTTTTTCCCGCAAATATTTTGACAATAACATGCAGCAAAGTCAGCTTGGACGTAAAATGGTAAACTCAGGAACTGGATACATATAAATTTTTAAATTATGTACATTAGTTTGAAATTTTTGTTTAACTTTTTGTCAGATATTATTATTAAATCTACTGATAACATTAATATTTTCAGTTTTAATTTCGAAATTATTGTACTTCGTGTTATCTGTATACATCCTTTATAACAGGTGGCTGCAAGAGCACGCAAGCTTATGGAACAACAATGTGGAATTTCAGAATATTACTGATGAAATGGCTTGCTTGAGTGTTGTTGGACCATTGTCAAGAAATGTTTTGGCAAAACTTACAAAGCAAGACATGGATAATCGTGCATTTCCCTTCCTAAGCGCAAAGACGATAGAAATAGCTGGAATTCCAATAAGAGCTTTAAGGATATCATACACTGGTTAGTGTGCAGTGGGTTCGTAATTTAGCTTTCACATATTTTATAAATTTACAACTTATAGCAGTTCCATATAGAAAATTTCAACGTTTTGAGGCTACTCGTTTTTGAGTTATGCGAGACTAGAAAATTTCAACGTTTTGAGGCTACTCGTTTTTGAGTTATGCGAGAATGCATCTCGCATAACTCAAAAACGTACGTACGTACGTACAGACGTGACGAAAGAAAATCTCTTCTGAATCCATTTCACGATCTGTTTCGGGGAAAAGAGTACTTTATTCTGTCCGTATCTACAGATATAAAGCAAAAACATCGTTCAAATGGAATCGAGAGCGGTCAAAATGGATATTTGCGTTGAAATACGATACCCGAAATTATCCCGATTCCAATACTTTTTACTTCCTTTATGTCATACATGGAAGTAAAAAGAATCGAAGCATTAAGAAAGAAAATGCGAAAGGGAAGAGAAATATAGAATGGATATGAATATACCTTTTAAAAAGCTTAAGATATATTGCGCAAAATAAATAATAATAATAATGATAACGATAGCAATAAAATATTTTAAGACTTAAAGCAAAATGGAAAAGAAAATGAAGGATGAAGTTAGTTGCTGGATTTTCTGGCGCGTAACCGAAAATGCTATCGTGTCATTCCATTTAACTGAATGTTAACTAACGTAAAACCCATAGAAACAATCAAATAATGCTGATGACAAATTATTAATGATAACTAACACAAATTTCTAAACAAATTAAGGTCATATACTGATTTTGATAGGTGAATGATGTGATGAAAATTTGAAGTCTAGTTAATTAACACATTAACTTATTATTTGAACTATACTACACTTCTACTTTTCATCAGTTCTCACCAGCTACATGTAAAGAAAGCTACATAAGAACACAGTTCTTGAAAGTTAATGAGAGATTGTTTAGTATTTTTTGTTACCAAACGAATTACTAGTGTGTCTTTGCAACAATAGATGGCGTTGCTACCTGGTGATTCAATTCTGGTTGCTATGGTAACGAAGTTTCAACTCATAACTTATGTGATTTGTATTCTATTCTTTTTTGTTTTTTTAAATTGCTACAGTGCTAAGAGTGAAGTGTGTTGTGTCGTCGTAGACGGCATTCCTTCTATTTGAAAGTTTTATGTAAAATATTACAGTCCGCTTACCTTTTTTTGTGAATTTATTCTTAACATTCCTGGTCCGTAGCGACTGGATAGAAGAGTTAGCGAGCTTTGGATATGATGTGATTTATTCAGATATTAGCAAGTTAAATCACTTTCTATTTGTGGATTAATAATCAGCTTAGTGTACTTTCGATTCGATTTGTGGATTATGGTGGCATGTGGTGAAATCAGTTCGTTTGTGAATATTCCCGTGGATAATGTAGCGTAGAAAACCTCAACATTGGGGTGAGTACGTTTCCAATATTTCATCCTTTTGCTAGAGTTGTTAGTATATTTTGTTTTCATAATGGCTGATTGAAAGCAGTTTAACTAAAAAGAAGGTTCTAAAAAGCAATATAACAACGTTTAAAGGCAAGGTAAATTCGAATTTAGAGCAAGCAGAAATTTTAGAGGTAAAGTTGTTTGAAATGAAAGTAAATGCTTTTAACAGTGAGCTTCGTTCTATTTATGAGGAAATATTTTTGTTGTGCCTAAAAATGTGATACATTCATTGTTTGGCCACAGACTCTCCTGTCTGTGAATATTATTCGCAATGCGCAGATTGTATGCGCAGCTCGCATTTTTCTTGCATTCTAAAACGTTAATTGTAACTCTGTCGTTTACTTTGTGCTGTGTTGTTTCGAAAGTCAACTCCCGAATAAAGGTTAATTTACAGTCCACTCGCATTGATGTATTTTAGGTTTATTAATTTAAAGTTAAGATACCGCTATGCTACATTATTTGGTCGTCCTACGCCGGAGCTTCGAGAAAATCCCGCGCTTGTGAATAAGAATTCTACGTGTCTGTAATAGAGTTGATAATGCAATTTCAGTTTAGAATTCTCAAGAGTTTCGCAATGGATACAGTGTACGAGGTGAGTGAAACAGTTAATGCATTTTAATTGCATTTGACATTTCGTTATTGCTACTTTATTGTGTTTAAAGTATTAGTAAAATCGTGAATTTAGAATATTTTCAAAATGTCAGTTATAGAAAAAAAAAACGAAAGAAAATTTTGAAAACGCAGTTAATGAAATTTATCGAGAAAATAGATTATGATAGCTTAGATAATGCTGAAACAGAATTAATCTTAGAAAAGTGTAAAATCTTTAAGAAAGATTTTGAAATCTCTGTTTAACAAAATTTATACATGATATGTGATGACGATAAAATAAACGCTTTCGCTGAGGAAGAGCAGTCGATTTTAGAGAAAATTGAGGAAGTTCAGTTAAAAATTATTCGTAAGTTAAAGAACGACAAGGTTGTAAATGCAAATGGCGACAAAACCTGTCGTACCAGAATCAGTCGCTGAAAGTTTAAACTTGCTAAAATTATCTTTATCCACATTTAGGGAAAATTTAGCATAATGGATAACTTTTTATGACTTATTTAACGCTAGTGTTCGCAACAATCCAATCTTTCTGGAGCTCAAAAATTACAATATTTAAAGAGTTCTTTGAAAAATGATGCTAATCACATTATTTAGTCAATCCCATAGCTGATCAAATTTCAGTATTATTGGAATTTACTAGAAGAGAGTTTTCTAATAAGAGAGAACAGATATGTTTTTTAAAAAGATCTTAACGTTTCACAAATACAACGGAATCTGCATCATTGTAGATAACGTAACGAAATAATTGCTCATGGAAATTAGATCAAAGATAGCTAATTTTAGTGATACTCTGTGTGTATTTTTTTGCAAAACTTTACGTTTCGACAAGTTGTGGTGGGAGCGTCAATTAAAAAAGACGAAATACCAAGTTGAATGACTTGATAGAATTTTGGAAGAATTCTAGACATTACAGAACAGTAAACCTTTAATTAGTAAAACGCATAAATCAGATAAACCAGTTAATGTATTCCTTACTTTAATCATTGGCGAGGTAATTAAAAGGGGCAAAAATCTTCCATTTGCATGTTGTTCTAAATTAGGATGGGTAATTGCTGGAACTACACATTTTGAATTCCCAAACCGTAAGCAGGTTTCAGTCAACACGCTAAACGATAACACGGAGGAATTGGTTAAATCATTTTGGGATTTGGAACAAATTCACACATCGAAACCTTTAACTAAGAGGAAAGATTGTGGAAAATCATTTGTGGAAAATCACGTGTGTATGAAAATGGTCGTTATTCAGTAAAACTCCATTCAAGCCTAAAAGAAATGAGTTAGGTAATTCCAGCCATCAGCTTTCGCAACTTTCTTAGTCTAGAACAAAAATATCAAAACTCCTGAAGTATATCAACAGTATAAAGACTTCATGTCGAATATTTATCATTTGACACATGGAAGAATTTCCGATGATAATTTAGAAAGTAAATTTTCATTATTATTACCTCATCATCACGTGCTAAAAGAATCCGTCTTAAACAAAACTACGCGTCGTTTTCAATGCAGTGCCAAAACTACATCAGGGATATCGCTTAATGACACGCTAATGAATGGCCCAAGGTGCAAGACGACTTTACGTTTAGAGGATCCCATAGCCATTACTAGCGACTTATTGAAAATGTATCTACAAGTTCAAATTCATGATGAAGATCGCGATCCAAAAAATATTTGAGAGATGATTCATCGAAGCCGATTAAAAACTTACAGGTTGTGCACAGTTACTACGGCACTACTTCCGCTTCATACCTGGCTACTCGCGTACTCAAACAACTAACAATTGACGAAGGCTAAATTCCCAAGGCAGCTGAAATAAATACACAATTGTTATTGATGATGTCCTATTGGTTCAGACACAGTAGAAGACGCATAGAGTTAATTTCACAACTGATGAACTTTTACAAAAGATGGCTTTTGCATAAATGGTGTACAAATGATCGCCGATTTTGGGAAACTGCTTTGAGTGCTCGGAACTCATTCTTCATGTACAGTAGTTGATACTAAATCAATAAAATTATTGGGTTTGGAATGGTATCCAACAAGGACAGTTTACTTGTCATTTAGGAAATCTCGAAACAGAGAGTGTTCTACTAAAGATAACTTTATCTTCTATTTCGGAAATCTTTGATCCACTTTATAGTGCAGTAAAAATCTTCTTCACAATCTCGTGGGATGATCCCTTCCAGATGAAAATCAATCAAAGATGGAAAATCTATTGTGAAGATATCGAAAATCTTGAATGCATTCATATTCCTAGGAGAGTATTATTGCTGAAATTTGCAAATGTAGAAACGTCTTGTTTTTGTGACGCATCTGAAAGCTTACGCCGCAGTGATTTATTTAAAGTCTTCAAATCATTCTTCAGTTTCGGTGCAGCTACTAACATCAAAACTCGCATAGCTCCCCTGAAAGTAATCTCTATTCCTCGTTTAGACTCTGCTCTGCAGTTCTATTAGTGCATTTGGTTCAAGCTGTGCAGAATTCGTTGCATATTCATGTTGACGATATTTACACATGGAGTGATTCAATGATAGTTTTGTCATGGATACAATCAGAACCCACACGCTAGCAAACCTTCGTAGCCAACCATGCTTCAGAAATTCAATCAGTTTTACCATCATCGCATTGGAATCACATAAGAGGAAAAGAGAATCCTGCTGATTGCGCATAAAGAGGTCTTTTGCCTTCAGAGCTTTCTACTCATGACTTACAGTGGACACGTCCTCAGTGGCTTAATTCAAATAATATTCCATTTTCTATCAGACGATACTTAAAACTTACAATTTTCAGAAGAAGCTTTAAAAGAACAACGGGAAAAGTTTCTTGTTCAATTGAAACAGTCGCTTCGCAAATTCCAGTCCTTAATGAAGTTTCATCATTCTTGAAACTTAAAAGAATCATCGCATAGTGTTTCGGTTGGAATAATTCAGCTAAATCTA